GTCTAAAGGCCTAAATATAGAAAAAAAAAAAAAAAAAAAAAATAAGTATAATGGTTCTAATGAATATCAAAAGGCAATTAATTTTTTAGAAAAAGGTTGTAATTGTGGTTGTTCTTCAAGAACTTCCAAGGAAAATTTTGCAGAATTAAGAGAATCTTTTCAAATCTGAGCAAGACATATTTTAATGGCTTGACTTAAAGCAATGGATGGTAGATTAACAAGTACTAGTAGACGCCTTAAGAAGAAAACTAGATCTAATAAAAGAATTTTCTATCACTGTGATTAAGGTTTCTGGCCAAAACTCTCTTTATTAGTAGCCAAAATTACTTTTTTATAAGCCCAAACTGTTTTTTGTTATTAGCCAAAATTAGGTGAAATTATTTTAAAGTTGTTTAAGTTAAAATAAGTTAATTGGTATGGTTTTTTAATGTTCATGTTTATAAAAAATGTTGGGAAGCCCAAATTGACCACCAGTTGATCAGAAATTTTATAGCCAAATCAATATTATTTTATTTACATGTATTGACTACTTGTCAATTTAATGCAAAAGATAGTTGAAGCTGCTCTAATAAATTAAAATCATGGATAAAAGTAAACAATTATGCAAAAACAATGATAAATATTTTAAAACACCCAAATTTTTCAAACAAATTTTGTTTTAATAAATTCAAAACAAATCTAATTATCTAGTAATAAAAACAAGTGAACAATCTTTGAGTATTTTCTAATTTATGCAGTAAAACAAAAGTATATCACACAAAGGTTCTACTATGTGTAATTCCCTCAATTAAAATTTATTTACAATTATTAAGTAAAACATTAAAATAAATAAATATTGTCTATTTTTGGGTTAGAAAATCTATGGTAATAATCATCTTTAAATACCTAATCCTTTTTTGCCTAATGAAGTTTTAGCATTACGGCCTGGCATAAATATTTTTGGTTTTTTGGGTGACCTTACTGCTTGTATTTGTAATTTTTCTTCATCTTCCTCTTCCTCTCGTGCCTTCTTAATTTTACCCATAATTCCATTGTCATTTAGGCGAACACACAGGTTGGTTATGTGATGTTGTACTTGACAATCCCATA